GGAGGCTTCATATTTAGGGCAGCATTAAAACATGGCTTTGAAGTCCAGCTTTTGAAAAAGGGTTTACTTTGTGCAAACATCTTAATAATTAAGTGAAACTAGGTTAAAATACCTTCAGTAAGATTGAGCAGGTATCTGAATATCCAAACAGGGGTTTAGGGCTGCAAAATGACACAATTGGTGTAGTTATCAGGTTGTTTTCAAATCAGAGACTGGAGTGGGGATTTTTATTTCTGTAGTAGAAGAAAAAAAGCTTATGTATCTGAAAGTAAAAAAAAATATGGTAAGTTCTTAACATGACAATGAATAACTGTCTTATTAATCACCACATTCTGCTGTATCCGTCAGTATGGTGTGTTAGCTAAAACAACACACTTGTGGATCAGAGATTCAAATCCTCATGCTTTGGCACTGCTTTATTTCTTTGTGACCTTGCATAAAATTCAATTCTCTAAAACTTTAGGCATTCTTTAAAGGATGCAGATGCTCAAAACCCAACTACAGCTAATAGAGCACCTCTGAAAATCAGATCTTAATCACTTAATATTAGAATTTTCACTGTCTGAGTGTTCCTGTGTTTCTGGTTCTTTGTGTATGTCCAAACAAACCATATTTTCTAAAGCCTTTTGAAATCTGCCCATAAGAAAATAATTTCCCTGAATGTAGTTAAGTACTACTTAACCTCTCCTATAATATATGCATATTCATTAAAGGTCATCTTATTGGGCATTACTGTATTAAATATCTTCATCTTTTTCAGATCTCGTAGAAAATTTTGATGAAGCATCAAAGAATGAAGCTAACTAAAACATTAATAGTTCTGGAAGCTGGCATGGACTAGATTTAAGAAATCAGCTATGTGGTTCCAAAGTTTAAAGAAACAGAGAACATCATCTGTTAATAGTTCAGTAATATAAATATTTTGTATTTTTATGATGCTGTTTGTTCAGCATTTTCTGTCAGTTGATTTTGCATTTTGCACTTACTCCCAGGATCTACTCTTTTGGTCAAAAAAGAAATGTCAGTGCATTTTGAGGGGTGTGTGTATGTGTGTGGGTGTACGTATAGTGGAGAACAAATTGGAGAACGCTTATTTAACCATTTCCCCTTTTCCTTTGGAAGTAGAAATAAAACGAATCTTCAGCATTGCTACTTTTGAGTACCACCAGATAGCGCACAGAAGGTAGTTAAGGTGAACATTTTGTCCACATTTTGTGACCTGAAGGCATTACACCATTAACACTTGGGGTTAATTTGCTGTTAACTATTGTACTTGCAGATGTTTCTCAGTGTACACATTTGTTATCAACCCTGCGTTGATCCCAAATGATACCGAAGATGAGCTGTTTCAGCAGCTTGTTTGGTACAGTAACTTTTTTAAAACCTGGTCTCAGACAAGTGTGCTTTTCTTAACCTTCTTCAACTTTTTTTTTTTTTTTTTTTGGTCTCTAACCTTTTGATACAAGCTGATATTTGACTCTTTCCGTGTAGGCTTAGCAGTGTGTTTTCCTGTTGGTTACTGGAGTATTTCCCAGTCAAAGGAAAACCAAACATTTTGGTTCTCTACTCTTGGGTCACTTCCTAAGCTTGGAGGTCTGGTTGGTAACAGTCCAGTGCACCAGTTTTACACAGTAACAGGTTTTTGCTTGAATAACTTCAAGCTGTTCTCTTGGCATGATTGCATTTACTAGCAGCTCATGATCCACTGTCATTCTTACGGCACTAGGAATTAAATGCACTGTGTGAGCAATGCCCAGAGTGGGAGGAAAGAGTTGTTGACACTTTGCCTTGCTTCCTACTGGGCAGTTTGTGCAGTGATTAGCTCTAAAGGGATTTTTTTTTTTTGCCTGTAACTTACCTTGGCCTATAACCTACCTCTAGGTTTGGTGTCATCTATGTAGTAGCTTCTTACAAAACACAAACGCTCCTCAGGCATGAGGAGGACATTGGGAAGTACTGTTGGTACAGTGCAGTATTTATGACCTTTCTTTAAAATGCTTAATGTGAACCTGTTTTTTCAGAGGCTCTTTCAAGGTTCTTGATGTAATGTGCATTACAGTATAGTTAGACATCATTGTAACCTCTGTCAAGGGCAGCTGTGGCTTAAGAAAGCCGTTCCGTTTTTGTTTTTTTCTACATCTGTCACTTAACTATGGCTTAATTGGAACATATCAGCTTTTGATGTAGGCTCATATGCTAGAGAACTGTAATAGTCCAAGCAAACAGTCCATGAGTTCTGGAGACTTCATGAAACCACAGAAGTAGAACTGCAGTGGTTTGTCCTCTGAACTCCTCGGTTCGTTTTACAGGCTCCGTTCTGTTTTTCCTGTTATATTTTATATACTACATGGATCTTACTACAAAATAAAAGCACAAAAGAGGAAATGCTTCCTCCTGTGTGTTGTCTGCTCCTCCCACCAAGGGCAGGTGGATGCAGCAGCTGTTTGGAACAGCACTGCATTCCCGATGGCAGTGACTGAGGAAGACACATGCAGGACTGGGGAGGATTCCGGTAGGGCTTTAGGATTTCACACTCCCTATACTCACTCCTGTTTTCCCTATGGTGATGAATGAAACTTTGGTTTGTTGTATGGCTGATCAGCTGCAGATGATTTGTGTCTATAAGGAGGAGATGTCTTCATTGGTGTGTGCCCAGTAACATGGAATTACCTTCTGCTGCCTCTGGGAGCCCAAGGAGCAAAGGAAGGACACGAAGCAACAGGTATTTGCAGTGTTCTTCCATTTGCTTGAGAGGCGTGAGCAAAGACCCTTTCAAAGTAGCAACTGTACTGAGATGATGTATGGGACATCCCCTTCCTAAATACTAATCAGATACTGAAAATTCCTGCTCATTGGTTTCTGATGTAGGAAGTATGTCAAAAGTAATTTTGAGAGAGATTAAAAGTAAGCCTTGGAAACAATGATTCCATAAGTTTATATAGCTGAACTTTCTAATTCCTCCAGAATACTCACTTAGTTTTTGCTCTTGGTCATGACAATTTATGTGTTAAACCCTCAGTTTTTCCTATGTTGACAACCAGTAAACTAACTATGCTAGCTTATGTAGTTCTATTCAGTTTTTTCACTGTATCTGGAAACAGTCAACCACTTACGATTTGCTGCTGGAAATACTAGAGCTTATCAATCATTAAACTGATTTTAATTAAAAGTAGCCCATCAAGGCTGTTGTGGGAAAAACTCTTTTCTTTGTATTTATTCATGGTATAACACAAACAGTGCTTGTACATGCTGATGGAAATGCAGGGTTATTAAAAATAGTTTCAGGGGGTGTTGGTAAATAAAAACTCCCCACACAAAAGTGAACATGAAAATGTTCTTTGCTTGACTTGAAACTGAAGTATGTTGATAACTTGCTCATATTTGTCAGCTTCCCAGGGGAACAAGGAGTTGCTATGCACTCCCTTCTGCCAGGATCTTCACAAGTAGTGTTTTGGATTTGGTGTGTACAAGATGAGCTCCAGAGGTCTTAGAGCTGATTTAATTACTGAGCAGTATGTTGATTGACCAGTGTCAGGAAGGAACTGAGGAAGCTATAGCAGCACAGTAAAGCTGTACTGTATGTAAGAGATGAACTCAAGCCTCTCCTCAGGAATGTCCAGGAAGGATCCTCCTAATGTGCCCTGGAATCAGACTGTGCTGCTCCAGACAGTAGGGATGTACAGAGGGGCTGAACAAACTGCTCCTTAGGTGAAGGTGAGTGAGTGAATTCTTCCTCTGGCACTTCAGTTTGTTTTTATTACTTGAAGACAATACTAGTTTCTTCAACAAAGTGAACAGACTTTATTCTGGAGATGAAGATTTCACTAATTCAATGATCCATGTTTTGTACTTGAGCAAATGAAGTGATGCAGAACAGAAGGACATCACAACAAGCAGCCACAGCAGCTTTGCAGGAGTGATAGCAGAAGTGCAGAGAATGGTTATTCACCTTCAACTGTTTGCTTTCCCATCAAGTAATGTTTTTTTATTTATTCCCCCACTTTCAAAGACCGGTTTGCAGACACTGGAGAACTTCATGGATTTATTCAGAAACATGAGGGCTACAGTGTCAATCAAGAATTCAGGTAGCCAAGTGGAGCAAGCAAAGAGACTAATTCTAAAATCAATTGTCTTGGTATGTTTGGGTGGAAGCTTGGGTTGATTCCTAGAGCAGGGTTATTGGGAATTTAGCTTTCATTCATATCTCTGTGTTGGGCAAGAAGTAACACTTGTACATCTTCCAGTGCCTTGATTTGCCTTTATTCCAGCACTGCTCTGCCTCCTCTGTGTACTTTGTAAATAATTGAACACAAAACTGGATGTTTCTTAAGAGAGCTACCTCTCTGTGCAATTGGTATAAAAAAGCTACTTCTACATTATAAACACATGGTATTCAGTGGGCTGTCAGTACTATTGAACACCCTCTCACTACACAACGGACCCACAGCTTGCTCAGATGCTGTTTTTTCTTGACAAATGGTGTCTGACAGATCCTCAAATATTAGGCAGCGTTTCTTTGAACTTTGCATTACAGGTAGATTTTTGTAGCTAAGCTAAATTAGTTGCCTTCTTGAAGTAAAAGGAGATTTTCTGCTCATTTGAGTTCTTGAAGCTGTTTTGATATTTTTGATTAAGTATTAATGCTGAGGCAAACATTGAAACAAAAAATCCTGTTCCAGGGCCTTTTGACCTTTCAGTGCATGTATCCCAGCTGAATAAAAGGAGTTATGCAACCTCTTGCCCTCTTTTGCACCATCCTTGTGGCAGCTATAGTAACTGCTTATGTCAAAAGGTAATATTAGAAAGTATTTAATATATTTTTAGATTATATTTAATGCAACTTAGCTGACAAAGAAGAGCCAGTGCTGAGACCAGCTCTCCACAGATATTGGGAAATGTGGCACAAGCTCCATTTTGAGAACAGCAGATTTAATTTTGAGGCCATGTGTGAAGCTGGGAATTTCCGAGTGATGCAAATTATAACCAGATACAGGTAAGTGAAGACTTAAAACCTCAGCTGATTGTCATCAAGTTACCAGGCCTATGCACACCAAGAGTGAAGTTCCCTGAAAAGCTTTCACTAATCTCTGGCTTCTCTGCTGCCAATGGGGCAGTCTTCCCCTTCCTTTGCTTTCTCAAGCTGCTGCCTGAGGTCAGCTGGACCAGCTTGCTGTGAAGCTGTAGCTTTGGAGCCCCTCTTGTGTCCTTTGCTCACCCCCTGCCAGGCAGTGTTCAGTCTGTGTGAGATGAAGGGTGAGGGGCAGCGATTGCAGACTCTGTTTGGGCAGTGGGGATGGGCAGAAGCAACCAGCCTCCAGCCTGCACTGAACTGGCCTCTCAGCCCTGCTGCTGCCTCTGCTGCTGAGGCTTGGCTTGGCAAGACTGAGGGCAAACCTGTGCTGCTGCTGCCAGGATCCTACTGAGTTTGGGGAAAGGGAAGGATTTGCTGTATTGGTGCCCTGGGTGACCTATGTGGTCAGATACTGGGACTTGCAGCGTGTTTCTAAACTTGACATTGTGAAACAGGGGCTCAGACCAGTTCACTGTGCCTTGTGAGACACAGGCACTGCCTGCACCACGGGCTGATAAACTCCAGCATGACCCCAGTGTGCCCTATCATCCTCTGCTCCAGCCATCCCTCTGCTCCACAGCCTTCCTGTGAGCCCATTTTGCATGTCTCTGTTTAGATGAACACTGATTTATTGCAGCAAGCTGTTGAAGTTTTGATTCATCCTGCAGGTTTTCTTGTTCACTGAAAATCGCTTTTTAAGTTATTTGCTGAGATCTTTAATAAGGAATTTCCACTTTTGTGACAAGATATGGTTTCAAATGGGTTCTGGCACATGGTGTTGAATTGAAAATAGCTGTAACTTGCTTACAGCATTGTTAGAATCTCCAGGGATAATGATGCAACTAAAGCTTCTGCTCTGTTCATTTTGAAACTCTTGCTCTTGCTGGAGACTCTGCTCTGCTCTGTGTGATGGACAGTTGTAATTAGTGACACTTTTGCATGTTTGCTGTTTCTGAAAGAAAGCAAATAGGGCCTAAAATAATTTTTACTTTGAATAAGGATTTCTTCCCCTGTATGTCTTAAGTTTCCTGCAGCCTGCTTCCTCAGCTCCACTGAAAGACACCAGGTTTTCTCATGATCTCCTGCTGGATATTTGGCTAATTTGCTGAGACTTCTATTTTGACACGAAAGTGATGTTGGTCTTCTGAAAAACAGGGAATGTGTTACATTTTCTAGTCTTTTTGTATCACCTTTCTCTCAGCCACTTGATTTCTGTGTTGCTGTAAATTATTAACTTTTGAACACAGAGATATTATTGCCTCTAACTCTTCTCCTGCCCTTTGAATTGCAGGGTTGCTTTTATTGGCAGCATGCACTGAGAAATCATGTTGGCCACTTACAGCCCTGAAATTGTAATAGTTTATCCCATTACATGGTGATTTTTTCCAGCTCAGTTCTCCTGAGAACCTTGAAATGGGTTTTCCATAAAAATATTCCAGCCACTCTTTTTCTTTTAAAGGCTATAGTCAAATTTGAAGGGATAATCTGGCTATTGTTTCTTGTGGTATACATGTTCTACCCTGATGATTTTGTAAATTATAGAGGATTTCTATAGTGTAGTCTGGGTTGCTGAGAACCAGGGGAACGAGCTTGCTTGTTCTTTGGCTGCAAGCAGACATACGTCATTAGCATCTTAACTGATGGAAACTTTGCCGCGAAAAATGCACACGCTCTTAATGCTTTTAATCTGCACAAGCACTCCATGAGTTTGCAATAAGCTGTAATAAAAGGTTTAGGTGTCTTATACCTACATTTCCTCAATGGCTCACAGTATCATCCTCAGGAATGTATTCCAAGTGCACTCTGCTTTGTGACTGGTTGTTTTGTCATCTTCCTTTCTCCATAGCTGTTGTGAGTATTGTCTGAGAACCAGAACTGTTGAATTTGAACTGACAGCACAGTATGCTGCTACTTTCAAACTGCTTGGGCCTTCATGTTCATTATGATTCAGGATGGCAAGTATTTGACAGGAAAGAACAAATGAACTAGAACAAGAATTCACTTGCTTTGAATAAATACGGTGAGCAATTCTTTTTATTAGTTCCTCTGCTGAGACGTTAATCTGTGTTAAAATGTGTATGAGATGTGCCTTGGTTCAATTCTCACCCTTTTATGTTAAGACTTAGATAAACCAAGATAGAAGAGAGGTGATTAAGTACTTGTCCTCAACCACTCTTGCCCTCATAAGCAGTCCCATGAAAAATTGCTGTGGGAGGAATTACATGCATTGTCTGCTTGCACAATAAAAACAAGCTTTAACAGTTGTTCTTACCATAGTTAAGTAATCCTGTTAAAGCAGAAACATTTGCAAGTTTTATACTCAAGATGTCTTACTGGTTTGGTAAAAGCAAAATAAAGGGCAGATTTCAAAGATGCCAAAGAGCATTTTTGTTTCTCTCCCTCCCCTCCAAGAAAGCAGCTTCCTGATGTACATACTGTTATTTATTCTGCCCTATTTAATTCTGCATCATAGTCAAAATTGTTTGCAAGGGTTCTGGCTGGCTGAAATGAGGTACCAGGCTTTTTTAGCAAACTCAGAGCACTCAGCTGATTGAGGGACAAACCTGAACAACATACAGACAGGTCTCATTGAGATGTTGAGGAAAGAGCTGGTCAGGCCTTCCCAAGTGTCTGACTCACAGCACTCCACAAAATCTCAATCATGTGATTTAGCAAGTCGTAAATAAGCCTGGGGTGGGGGTTTTTTATAGGCTTAGTTACACCTGGTGAAGCAATGTCCTTTTGCTCGAGCGGGGAGTTGCCACACTGCTGCAAAGGCAAAACATGGCCAGGAGAACAGAAAGAGTCAAGCAGAGCCATGGAGTTCCTGGGACAAGCAGGAGCAGTGTGTGTACTTGTGACCCCATTCTCTCCATGTGCACACTTCCTGGGATGTGGTGGTGGGGTTTGTCTGTGACGGTAAGACTGAACCATTCCCTGTTTGCCATCACTGCGGACTCAATAAATGACACAATAGAGGTGAGCTTGTGTTTTGTGGAATTTTTTGTTGGTTGGTTGGTATGTTGGGTGGTTGGGTTTTTTCCCTTCTCATATATGTTAGTGAAAGAGAAATTAACTGCTGGGGCAGCAGGCACACCTGCCTGGAATAGCGAGTGACTATTCAGCCAGCTCTTTACATAACACCAGTGATGTTACTGCTTCTTTCAATCAGTTTTTCTGACTCAATACAGAACCATAGTGGTTTGGAAGGAACTTTAAAGATTGTGGAGTTCCAACCTCCTGCCATATTCCAATGTCTGCGGGATTCCAGGCTCATCCAGTCCATCTTCAACACCTGGCAAATGGGAATTTTAGGTATGTTTCCATGAATAAGGAGGCCAGCACAGGCTGGTATGTGAAGCATTTGCTAAGCCGGTGCAGCTGCAACTGATTGGATATTTTCTACCATTAGGGGAAATGAGTGTAGCCAATGCCATTCCAGCCATTGCTGGGCTAATACTTGGATCTCAGGGATTGCCTGTTAAACACTGAAGGTAACGGGAGAACACAGTTGCTATTAGTGTTGCATCAATGTATAGGGTCGCGGGCCTTGCTCGATACTTGTTACATTATTTTCTGTAAAAAAAACAGAATGAAAGACAGCCCTTTCCCTTAAACCTCCACAGGGATTGTGTATGAATGAAACTGGTTTTCAGTAATTATGAATGGCAGTAAAGTCCACTTAGAGGGGTCAGAGATTCTTCCTTACAGAAATAACTGTAGTGTCCCAGCAGGAGGACATGGATAACAGAATCCATGCCACTCATATTCCCTTTGAAGCAGACATAAAACTGTTTAATAATCACCATTTTGTGAAAGTTGCATTGAGATGTTTGTCATCCTGGCAAAGGGAACCATCCTTCTTTACTGGTCAGCTTTCATTTTTGCGGCCTTTTACACTAAATGGCATTTTTACCAAGCTGAAATATTTTCTCAATCAAAGTCTTTAGTAGTAGGGAGTGCTTTGAACTCAGCTTAGAAAGCTCATTCTTTCTAGTATTTGAAGCCTTTGCCTATTGCATATATTACAGGCTTAATGAACTCTCCTTTGTCCCACATGTACATTATCTTGAAATTCAGTCTGTCTTCCCCAACCCCAAATTCATTAATCATCTGCGCAATGCCACAGTCACGGAGCCACGAGCCTGCCACAATTCTGCCAGATTTTCATATTTCTTGCTTGTAGCCTTGTCCTTCTTATTCAAGCCCTCTCCCTGAGGTATCCATTTCCATGTTGCCATTCTAGACAAAGTTCTGGCTCAGTTTTAGCTTGGCTCCCTCATTCGGCCAAGAGACAGGATTTCAATTATTATTAAGATGCTCAGCTTTTTGCAAACTAAAGAGGGAGATGTTTGCTCACCAGGTGGTTTTTTTTCCAGTGTGAAGCACTCATTTACCTCGGAGCAAAAGGAAAATCACACCAACTAAACAGAACTTTTCTTTCTGGCTGTCCAATAAAAGGACCACCTCGTTACTGAAGGGAGAATGAGGGAGAGGGGTTTGGTTTCAAGATGTTTGACTTCTTTCTGCAGTTGGGTACTGTTCTTACCCTTTGGTGCTTGGTTCAGGCAGGAGTTTTCCATCCAGTCTGCTTTCCACTTTTTTCTTATTTTGCCGTGCTACAGTTTATATAAAACTATTATATAATTTATACAAAGTCATTTATTTTAGAAGACTGTCCTATAAACAGAATAAGGGATTTGGTATCAGGTATTATGAATGGGTAAACCAGTTCCATCATTTTCCAAGTTTCTTGAAACATAAATCCCTCTGCAGAGAATTTTTTCTAGTGTCATATGTGATTCTTGAGAACCAGTGAAGGTGACTTATTTCTGAAGGAAAAAAAAATTTTTCTAAGCTTTTTCCTGTTTCACAGTTTCCTGTGTTGTAGCAGCCTGGAGGGAAGGTGCCAGTGCTGGAGCCAGGCCCTGTGTGTGCCTGCAATGACCACAGGCACTTAAGGCTCCTGTTCTATAACACTTCAAAATTATACCAATTTCAGAACACAGAAATTGTCATGTGAACATGATCTTCAAAGAGTAAATTAAATGGGTTATAACTGTCTTCCCTAGTGAATATATGGTGTGGAGTATTTCATGTCAGCTCAGCTGACTGCCTCATTTTTCACTATGGGTTTTCCATTTTCAGTTAAGCTGTTGCTATTTAAAAAGATGACTTCCATGTCATTTGCAAAGCATGTAGAAGCTGGAGGCAATTCAGCATTTTGACACTCTTAATTAACTGATGGCCTGTCATGAAAGTAGGGTGTAATTAAATGATATAGTAATTTTGGCCGTGCTGCTTTTCAAACTATTTTTATATCTCAGCAGAATAATTCAGGTGGTGACATCATGTCAGTATATGTCCTTCTCCTTCCTCAATGCCTACTCAAGAATTGTTGCTCATGGTTCAAAATAGCTGTAAGATAATAAATTCCAGCCAATTCCTGGTGAAAGAGGAAATAGTAATTTAAAAAATTTCCTGTCCCAGACTGTGGCCTGTCATCCTGTTGGGGTCTGTGAAGATGAGGTGCAATATGTGACAACCTACACATCCTGTAGGAGCGAATCACACATTCAGAGATCTGCAGAGTTTCCAGGACAGTCCAGATGGGTTCATGAGAAATGACGGGAGAAAATAAAGGTAATATTGATGGCTACAGAGCCTGAGCCTTGGGATACTGCTAATGATTTGAGTAAGATTGGATTTGGATTTGGATTTGGCCCAAAATACTTTTGGCTAATGAAGATTATACTGTCTTCAGCTAGAGGGGCGGGTGTTGAAATGGGAGTGCTTTCACTGGGTAAGCAAACATAGTTTTATGGAGGTATTCCAGAAGAGACATGTCCCTAACGCAGCCTGACAGTGTAACTGTTCAGAAATTAGTGGGATTTGCCAGGAACCAGTAATACCCACTACATTTTGAGCCAGGTTCTTTTGATGTCCATTTTCTGATGTGCTGCCCTGGGGAAATCTGCCATCTATTCATCTCTTCAATCCTTTAATAACATCCCTTGTGCCAGGAACATCAGAATGCTGAATGCCATGACTGAGATGTTACTATGAATATGCTGAAGATCTTTGCTTGGTGTGCGATGAAACGATCTTTGGGGAATAAGTGAAACAAAAGAGTGTGTAGGATATCCTTTAATTCAATGAAGAATGTGGGTGGAGAAGTAATTGAAATGAACAAGATGCTTTGGATTTTCCTTAATGCCTTGAATACTTCAGGGTGTGCTTAAACCTCTCTGTGTGTGTGTGAACCGTTTGCTGCTCAAAGAACTAATGAAAGCAGGAGCCCATGTTTTTTAACCTGCTCCCATCACACCTTTTCCCTGAGGTGCGGGCACTGTATTCCTTGTGGCAGTTCTGAGAGAGGAGAAATAACCCTACAAAGGATTTTAGACTTGTGTATGTCTGAGTGACAGCCACCTGCTGCTGAAAGCTACTGGAGTGGCTCCTTCCCTCTCCTTGCCCTCAGCAGTGACAGTCCTTTGTGACCTTCTACAGCAGTCACCAGTTGCCTCTTTCAAGTGTGGTTAAATCTGAGCAACATATTCCTGAATTATTTAAGGGGAAAGGAAGATGTGCCTGTAGTCTGCAGCACAGGTGTGTGAGCCTCTCTCCTTCCAAAGGCAGCTTGAAATATTTTGTGCACAAAGGATGGTGTTTTTGATGCCCATTGCACCCACTGTCACTAAGGAGTAGGGAGGAAAAGACCAGGATGCCAGCAGCAGATAAGCCAAGCCATAAGGCAACAGTGTTGCCTGCAAGTGATGCCTGCCAGATTCCTTCAAGAATAAAATCCCTTTTGTTGGAGTTGGACTCAATCACGCCTTGAATGATTTAATTACAAAAAAACATTAACCAGAGCTTGAGAGTCAGGTATGTCTATGGATAGTAGCTATTCATTTATCTCCAGCACAACAAAGACAGGAAATGCTTAAGATAACAATGAGCCAACTACATCTATCACTTCCTTTCAAGGAAGTTTCAGTTCCTTTCAAAAGAAAACCCTTTGAATCTAGAAAGACCTAAAGAATACACTCATACATGTTAGATCAAACCCTTCTCATAAGCATTGAAAGAAAAAAAGATACTATAGATGAAGGTCTATACTTTTGTTGTCTTACATCCTCAAAAAAAAGCCTCTCAAACAACAAAACCAACCGGACTGGAAGTATGTAACTGCATTATCATAGACATGTTGTCAACTCTACACTTGGACTGAAAACTTTTTCTGAAACATATTTCCTACTTCAACCAGAAGCTATGAGCTTCATGCAGATTGTGTGCCCTCACTGCTCCAGCTGTCCCTCATCCTCTGCCTTCCCCTGCTCCAGCTCTCATGATGCAGAGAAACTTGTGATTAAAGAGAAATGGAAAATGTCACAATCTTTGCAGAACAAAGAAGGATCAGAAGGAATGTAGTGGAAATAAACAGAATCAAGGGTTATATAGAGGAAGATTGTTCTTATATGAGAAAAAAGGGCATTAAGTTAAATTCTGCAGTAGAGCATTTACATCTGATGAAAGAATATATTTTTGAAGTACCTCAATTAGTTCATGGAACTCACTGTTACAAGATGTCACAGATTAAAACAGGATTTAAAAAGGATTACATGTTCTTCTCTATAAACTGTGTGTCCGTTTATATTAGTTAAGTACAACAACGAGCTGATTTATTTTATTTGAATACTGAATCTGTAAAAAAATCTGACAGCTTTTTTGGTCATGGAATATAGTTATGTTGGAAGAAACAAAAGACTTCATCAAAAGATATCACTTCAACACTCATAATAATGGGTTATTTAATAATACCTACATTGATATGATTTTTCAGCAGTAGATTTATTTTGCACTGTATATAATTAAGACTGAGTCAAGTTTGAATTGTAGTGTTTTGATTTCTCTGAAATTGTTTTTTTCTTAGAATTTTCCTTGCATCTGAAGTGTTGACATTTGAGGGAGTGGATTTCTGTTCACAAAAACAGTCATTGAAAAATCCTCCACAAAACATCCTCTGTGCTACTGTTTGCTGGTGGAATTCCTTTCTGCTGTGTCTGATGCAGTTTGTCCCCAGCCAACATATTGACTAAGTCTTGCCTCTAGGAGTGAGTGCACCAAGCACTGAGGACGTTCACTGAAGCCCACACGAATGGCTGAGTCTGTTATTCATAAGCTCTCTTGTAGGCTCATAGTTGGTCTGGTTTTGGAGAATCTCTGTTTAAAAATCACCCATTCTTCACCATTGTGTTTCCTATGGGCCATGAAGCGTGAATATGTTGGTGGGATGTATGGAAAAGTGCATATGGCTTTTTAGAAAGGACTGTCAAGAACTTAAAAACTTCCTTCTAGAAGTTGTGAGGTGTGCTGGTCCCTCCCTCCTCACCAATGTATCATACTTAAGGCAGATTTTTTTAGACCAAACTGGCACAAATTATGACTTTTATCTAAACAATGAGAGTCACAATTCTCAATCCACCGTCCTCTGGCACAGTGCCAACGTTATTTCTGGAATACTATTCTCTTTGAAAGAGTTTTATATGACTGAGGAAATTAAATAATACCACAGCCCAGTGATATCCCAATAAACATGAGATAGGATGCAAAATTAGGAGGTCTACAATTCCAGGACAAACTCTGAAAGGCATTTTTTCAGCGATGTAGAGCAGGTTGCTTAATCCTCACAGGGCAACTAGCAAATTTCAACTATTTTTAAATTACTTTTAGATCTTCAAATGCTAAAAACACATCTGTCAGCATTTTAGGAAGATGAAGTTCTGTAGATAGAGTTACTGTCTCAAACTCCGATTCATTTTTGAACCTCAAAGTTCTTTTGTTTCATTGAATCAGAAAGCACATGTTTAGGTGATGATTTCATATCTTCCAAATGACAGCTTTTCATGTAATCATCATAATAACACTTCCCATAAGAGACTCTCCAAGTGGCTTCACAGACCTTCCTAAGGTCTCATGGAACTCTTACTCATGCTGTAAATATAACTACTTCTACTACACAGAGGAGAGAGGACCAGACGGGTTAAATGTCACCCAGCAAGTCAGCAAAGAGTTGAACGAGAACCTGTTTCTCCCGATTCCAAATCCTGGCGAGTTTGTTGTTACTGAGCACAGACATGTTCATCTGGAACACTCTCACAAATACTTGAACCCCATGAGTATTCATTGAAGGCATTTCCATCTCCTGGCCAGAACAGGAATGTAATCAAAAAGGTACTTAAGCATTTCCAGGGCTTCCGAACAAAGATGAATAAAAAAATAAACAAAAAGAATTAAATGATCCAGTTCCTTATTGTTTTCTTGTTAACTAAATTCTGTAATTGGACTTATTGTTTAACAGAGGCTTTCAAATTACCTGAGTATCACATCTCATTCTCAAATACCAAGTCCAAATAACAACCTTTGAAAAGTTGTCCTATGAGTATTGGAAAAATAGCTGTTGTTTGCCCATGGATTTGTGTCACCACCCTCTGATCCCTTCCTTGGATTTACCCCAGCCCTGCCACGTCCACAACCCTCTTCCCACAGCAACCTCAGCTTCCTCCACATCCTCTGCCAGGCCAGAGCAGACACTGATTACCAAACTGGCTGCTGCCACACTCAGTCTGCACCAGCAGAGTTGCACTGGCTTTGGCTCGGCCCCTCTGTGTCTGGCCATGGATTGACACAAAACTTGTAAGAACTAAATTTCCTTTGAGACATCAGTTTTTCATCTGTGGCAGAAATTGGCCAAGAGATTGTAAAGATATGGGAAGGATGGAGGGGAAGAGGAAGGCAAACAATTTAATGGAATAAGTGTTATTTCTTTATTAAGCTTGGGCTAATAATTTAAAATGGGTGCCAGAGGGAGAGAAAAAGAAAAAAATCAAGATGTAATTGAAGTCCAAAGCCCTTGCCCAAGGTCCCACATAAGTTTAAAACAGATACAGACACAGATCTCTTAGAGCCTCTAGGCCAGTGTCTGGAATATTGGAGAGAAAAGTGATGGATATTTCAAGATTTAGCCAGCACAGACAGTAAAGTGTTGCCCCTTTTAAACGCATAGCCTATTGAGATTACTGTTGGAAAGGATTACAATGCAATCTTTTTTTTTTACTCCTAAGAATAAGTCCTATCTGGTGGAAAATGCATCATAGATTAATTAAGTGCCCATGTATTAGTGGCTTTATCGTATGACTCACTAATACTGAGTTAACCTTAATATAGGATTCTGAGGATATTAAGCCAAAGATTTTATTGATTCACATTGTTCTGGTGCAGGTAGTACTTGAGTGTAATGGATGAAGTCTGTACAAAATTTAGAAAAATCAAAGATCCAAGGCTGATGAGGTAATCAAAGTGTATTGAGACAGACAGCACAGGAGCTGGGCCAGTCTCTCAGCCACTAGAGGGCAAAGCCACGACATTGCAAACTTCATCATCGCGCCTTTCTAAGGGTGTTATCAAGGAGGAGTTGTTTTTTTACAACAAAAACTGATTAAATGATCACCAAGCCCTTCCCCATCAATGGCGTTAGTAATGAATACTTACAGTATTGTTTCTGTCGGTGTGGTGTGCAGGCAGTCAGGTGGTGTGCATGCAACAACTGCATGGAAAAAAAAGCCAACATTTTCTTCCATGGAACTGCAAATAAAAGCTTCAGTCACCCAAGAGGTCTGGACCCTTTAGGTTCACTTGAGATCTTATATATCAGCAGAAGACTGAGCACCTGTGTCAGGAAGCACATCGAGAAAGTAATGAACATTTTGCTGCAAGGTTTCCTAATTGTTTGATGGTACCAGATCAGACTGGGAAACTCCTCAATGTTTCCATCACTAACAGATTTTGGAGAGGTCAAGAGCCTTATATACAATTCCCTACCCAAGTCAGACTTTGACCTTCTAATATTAAGTGTTCTAGTTCTTTTCTCCCCTGGTTCTTGCCCTCTCCTGTGCCTATGTCTATTATCAATCATCTATTCTCTGCTCCTGCTAAAATTCCCACTCCACTGTTCCGAGATCAGGCATGGATCAGCTTTAGTGTGGACCTGAGAGACTGCTTGGCACAAGATCAGTATCCTGCCTGTGACAGTGGCCAGAAGCAGATGCCAGAGGAAGAGTTTAGTAGCAGGATAATCATACAGTCACACTTGTCAGGAGTAACCTCTCAGCTCCCAGCAATGTATGTCTCAGACTTCCCGAGTGAGAAAAGTTCTCTTGGCATGCAATATGCTTCAAAGGCTTTGCCTTCTGTGAACAAGTCCACCCATCCCTTCAACCAGTGTAAACATTGCCATCCCCACGGCTGCTCCCATCATGTGCTGAGGAGCACATGAGCTGTGTCAGATGATGCTGAAAGGGATGACAGGTTGTTACTTCTTAGTGCCCAAGGAAATTGAGTTCTGCATAGATGAGCAAACAGAATCCACAGCTATGCTCACAGAGCTCTGTCTCATGGGGAGCAGACTTACAGCACTGAACTCCTGCTTCTGCTAAAATTTAGTTTCTACAGTCACCTGATTTTGACATTTCCAGTGCTGGGAAATCTAACTTGTCCCTTTCTAAAGTGTCTCAGTGATTAATTACCTTCCCTGGTAGAAGACCTCACTGGGAAGCTGAATACAGTCACTGAATTTTGGAAGTACTTAGAACCTGTGATTGAGTGACCCCTTCACCTTTTTTTTTGACACTGAAATAGATTGAACATTTTCACTTTCCATCTAATTCATTCTTATTCATCTTCTCTGAACCATCTTTTTTTCTCCTTCTATTAAGGAATTAAGGAATTTGGATATCAGACTTCAGGAGCACTGGAACTAGTACCAGAAAAATAAATACAGACATCTTTCTACATTATTTTGTTTATAAACCCAAGGATTGCATTAGCCTGTTGGCTACAGCACCACACCACCTGCTTATTTTTTTCTGATTATATGTGATGATTCTCCAGGTTTTTGAGCATTAACTTGTAAAGCACAAATTTTCTCATCCTATAATCACTGTCTTCATTCTTTGGTGCATGTTTTTACATTTGGCTGTACAGAAATGCATATTACTTGTTATCAAGCTGTCTCAGCTACTTTACAGCATGACTTGTTATTTATGAATCCCTATTGCTTACATCACCTACAGAACTTTGTAAATGATGATTTTATGGTTTCCATAGAGCCATTAATATCAATTGAATACAGCATAGAACTAATTGCCAGAGGACCCAGAAACACATTCTCTGATGATGACTTCTTATTTCCCCACTTTGTAACTGTCAGTTAGGTAGAGTCTCGCCAGTTTAATATGTGCTGTGACAAGTCTGTATCATTTTGACTTCTTAATTAAAATGCTGCAAGTTACCAGAACAAATATTTTGCAGACCTACTTACCTTCATCAACCAAACTTGTAATGCCATTAAAAAATCAAATTATTTTGGCAAGATTTATTTTCCACATTAATTTGCATTTATTGTGTTTCCATCCTTTAATTATTTTTAAATCAAGTAATGTAGATAATGTCCCATTATATTACTGAGAATTCTTGTCAGTGTGACAGGTCCTAATTACCCTGGTCACCTTGTTTACCCTTTTAAAATATTGGGACAATATTGGGAACAATAAAGTTCCTCTGGAACTTTAACAGTGTTCCAAGATTTATTGAAAATCAGCATTAATGGTCTAAAGATACTCTGTGCCAGTGCTTTTAAAACTTCTGGATGCAAGTTACCTGGATCTGCTGATGCCCAACTTCATTAGCTTCTGTTTAACATCCTACTCAGTGCTTGTTGTAATGGAATGTATTTCATCATC